TTATCTATTTTCTATTCTATTTCTTTTTATTTTCTTTATTATTTCTTTCTTTATTACTCTTTTATTATTAATATTCTCTATTTTATTTATTATTATTTATCTTTCATTTATATTATTTATTTCATTTTTCAGCGAATTAAAGTGAAAATGAGAAATAAATTGAAAAGGGGGAAATGAAGAAATAACTAATAAAGAAAAGAAAAATGTTAATAGAATAAGAGTATATTCATCCAAATCAAAATAAAAATGGAGAAAGTTAAAGGTTCAATAAAATAAAAAAAGAAAGGAAGAAGATACTAAAATAAAGAAATAAAGATAATAATTAAAAGAAAGAAATGAACAAAGATGTAAAATTATAAGAATAATAAATAAGAAAGAAACAAAGAAATACATAAGAAAACAGAGAAATACAACAATAAATGAAGTGAGTCAGAAATAATTGGTAAATATAAAGTTGAACAATAAATTAAGACATGAACAAATAGAAAGTATAATAAAAATGATATAACAAATGAACTAATTATAGATAAATAACAATAATATTAAATAATGTTATTTTATTATTAATTTTATTATAAATCTTGTTATTTAAAATAATAAAAAATAAATACATTTGATTTATGAATAAAATGAAATGACATTGATATTCAGAAGCTATAAAAAGAGGAGAAGGAATATTTGATAGAATTGATGAAACAGAAAGAAGAAGAAAAATAATAATAGAAAAAAGTCAAGAAACAATTAAGCGAATGGAGACATTATTAATAGATAAAATGAACAAAATAATAGAAGGATGTGAGAAAGATGAAGAAACACTAATTAAAACACGGAATGAAATAATCAATAAAATCATTTCAATTGAAGAAATGAACATGAAAAATAAACTATTCAGAAAACCAAAAGATAAAATCACACAATCATTTAATAAAAAGAAACAAGAATGGAAAACAAATTACAGTGATTATTTAGAGAAGAAGAAGATAAAAGAAGAAGAAGAAAATAAAATAGAAAGAGTGAAAAGAATAATAAGAAAAGAAGAAATAACACAAATAGAAGAATGGACATCAAAAAAAGTATCCAATATAATATTTGATTCATATATTGATGATTGGAATAAGGATACATCAGTATTTGATCAAAGAATAATAAATAAAGAACAGATAATAATTATTGTTGAAGATGAAGATGGAAATAAACTTGGAGGATATATTAACTGTAAAATTGATAAAATTAGTAGTTATATAAATGATCCAAAATCATTTATATTTTCATTAAAATCAAATGGAAGAATACAAGGAATGATGAAATTTGATATTAAAGAAACTGAACATGGATTTTATTTATTTAATCGAACAAGCAATATAATGTTTTCAATTGGAGAAGATGATATTTGTATTTATAAAGAAAACAATAAAACAAAATCATATTGTAAACAACAATCATTTGAATATTTAGGAATAAGAAAAACACAATACAGGAAAGAACAAACAAAATATTTCACACCACAACGAATCATTGTAATTGAAATGAAATGATTTTTATTCATTATTATTTATTTGAAATATAAAAACTAAAAAAGAAATCAATTATAATTTACCTACAATTATGTTTTCATTTTGTTGAGAAGTGAGTGAATCAGTTTCTTTAACTTGTTTTATTTTTATTGAAATAAAGATCTTTCAATCGTTTTCGAATTAAGTGGTTCCTCATTTAATTTGTTATCTGATTTTTATTTTGAATTAAATGAGTGTTAAAATTCCTTGATGTTTATGATGTTATTTTAAGAAGAGTATATCCATAACCTATGACTATGACCAATCTCCTTTATCATCGACAATCACTTACAAACACTTTTTCTTGATAACACCGCAATATTTCATTCAAAAATATTATTGATAAATATATTTGAGTCCTGATAAATAATAATCCTTAACAATCACTCATAAAGAATGTTAATAATTAATAACCAATTAGTCTTGAACGTGACGTTATCTAACTAAAGGTACGTGACAACTAGACAACAACTGGTGATTCGAAGCTTAGATTCTTTTATGATTCTCTGTGGTGTCTTTGACGTGTCACATTTGAATTTATAGGTATTTATATTATTAATTAAAATATCTCTCCAAAGCACTATCAAAGAATAGTTTTTTGATTATCATTACAAAGAAACTATATGAACAAAAAATGAACTGTTTTTGAATTTTTTATTTATAAACGTTCTTTAATTAGTATAAATAAAGTGAGGAGAGGTAGTAGACTTAGAAATGAAATAAAGTCATTGATTAAATTTATTATTATGATGGTTTGATTTAAGAAGAATAACAAACTATTTTAAGTGTTAATATAACATTGAAAATGTTATGAAGTTATATTTAAATGAATTAATAGTTAATAAAAAGAATGATAATATTTAATGATAATTAAATAGAATTGAATAGATGAAATAAGGTATTCAAAACACAATGACTGATATGAGAAATAATAACAATTAAACCATAATTATTAATAAATCATTCATTTATTATTAATAAGATAACAACACAATACAACACAATAAATGAATAGAAATAATTAATAATAATACCAATCTCTTAAACAATTTAAATTAAACATATCTCTGATATTAACAATAAGATTATGG